TTCAACCACCGTATAGACTGCATGAATTATTACACTAATACACACTATGCAAACAACATCTTGCTTTTATTGATTTCATTTAAGGATTGCCTGTTCTGCAAATCCNGAGTGGTGGAGTGATGACGTATTTTTTTAGGTCAACCCGAAAGATAGCATAACAAGAGCTGCTTCGACAAAAAGCCAGTGGGTCTTTTCCACTTCCACAGTGTGGAAGTGGAAAAGACCCACTGGCTTTTTGTCGAAGCAGCTCTTGTTATGCTATCTTTCGGGTTGACCTAAAAAAATACGTCATCACTCCACCACTCACTCTGGGCCTCGTGATAATGCATCATCTTTAGTTACAGAGCATCTTTGGTGAAAGCGTGACAGAAAGAAATGAAATCAAAGTCAGATTTTGTCTCCTTCTCTCTGACTTCATATTGGATTCCTCCAGCTGTTGTAGACGCAACACTGAGCCTCTCTGAGGGTTTTGGCAGTGAGGCCTGTCATTGTGGCCTGAGGCTGTGGTGAGAGGAGGACGAGCTGCGGACAGAAAACAGCTGAAGTCCTCCTTACAGTCCCTGGGTGTCAACTCACTTCCTCTCTGTAACCTCTGACCCCCGGGGTGCCATGGGAAGAACCAAGGACTATTTATGTCTCAGACTAAAAAAGACAGAATGCAGTCTGAATTATTGCCTGTAGTGGAAAGAGTACAAAGTGGGGCCAACATATACAAACAAATCATCCTCTGGGGAGCAAATACAGTATATCAACAGCTAATTTCATGGAAATACTTGATTAAGGCTGCAATCAACAACTTTTTCATTGTAAAATAATGTGCCAAGTTCTCTCTTGATCAGTTTATTTGTTCATCTTCTGTAAAATATATAAAAAAAGGGAAAAAGCCCACAACAATTTGCTAGTGGAGTCTTTAAATATCTGCTGTTATCCGAAAACATCCCAAAGATATTCAGTTTTAAATCACATTAGAGAAAGAAAGCAGCAAATCCACGAAAATAAGAAACGACTAATCTATTGTAAAAATACAAATAATAACCATTGATATATTCTTCAAGTAAGCACTTTAATTAAAGCTTGTACAGTTATGTTTAACAGGTAATGAGACTCAGCAGAATACAGATGTTACCGAGACCAAATCACCCAAAAACAGACGATCGATTCAAGATCCCGAATCCACATTTTCTTTGGATTTTTTGTAATGTTTAATACTATAGAAAACTTAGGCAACTATTCAAATTCATTAGGTTGCAATATTCCACATGGCTTGTGCATAAAAAGTCAGTATGTCTGTCCATCTTATTAAAAGGGGATCTCCAAGGAATTTTAAATGTCAACAGCTGGAAAATAAACGAAAATGTAATTTCTGCAGCGTGTCAGCATGCCGAATACATCCCAGATGTTTTAACAGACTTAACAGACGGCTCTTAAAATCACATGTAAAAGCAAATGTGAAAAGCTGTCATGATTCTCTAATGTGCTGACAGTAAAACAGATGTTTATTTAGAAGACAGAAGCTGCGGATAATATGTTTCACGAGTCATTTTGCAAAAACTGTAAAACTCATCCATAAACTCGCAAACAATATCAAAACAGTCCCAGGGTGAAATTAAGTTTAGGAGACTCCACACTGTCATTAAGAGCTTTGGGGAGGCGCCTCTGCTGCTTATTCTGTCCGTCTGTAAGCAGGTTGAAGTGCAAAACATTAAAATCTCTTCAGCTTGTGTTAACCACAGACCTTATTTCACCATAACAACCAGAAGCACGTTCAGAAAACTAATTGAGTCCGAAACAAGGGAACCCAGGAGTGATAAAATGCTGACTCATTACTCGGTTTGGGATTCATTCCCACTTTCTAAACAGACCTGGAAAGAGAAATGATATCAATATCAAAACAATGAAACAACAAACAAACACCTGTGGTAATGCTAATTTACCACAGGTGCTTGTTTGTCACATGACTTCACGTCACCACCGCTAAGCTAAAGGCGGCTAATGTTGGTTGTGATGACGTTTAGAAAAAAAAAAATTCAACGTTTCTGTTTTTCTCTTCCCTTCCCCTCCATCTGTCCTCAGGATGATTGACAGCTGCTCCTCCTGATCCCCAGGATGCCCGTGGTGCCGGTGGGCGGGGCTTCCTCCACCAATCAGGTCGTCCCCGTCGCCTTCACCTGCTCCTGGCTGCTCCTTCTCTTCCACGCTGCCTTCGGTCAGAAGCCCGCCAAGCTGCCTCTGATTCCCCGCAAGCCGTTCATCGCCGCCTGGAACGCCCCGCTGGACATGTGCACCATCAAGTACAACGTGACCACCAACGCTGAACGCCTCTTCCACATCCACGGGAGCCCGCGGGCCGATTGGACGGGTCAGAACGTCACCATCTTCTACGCCAACCGTCTGGGGTACTGTTGGGAAAATACTGAATGCACTCTTCCAATATTAGAGTAGCATAACAAAGTCCCAACTGTAGCTGTGTGCATGACAGGATGTGTGATTACCTAGAAGAGCATCAGGACTGTTTGAGGCATATGATAGCTATGTGATTAACATGATGATTCAGCCTCTATGGAGAGAGACATATGACAAGCATGATCATTTCTGACGTGGAGCTAATCTGAAGTAAACATTGAATACTGCTTTCTATTCCTCCATCTTGTGACTGTGTAACTCCCTCTCTTGGATATCAGCATGTGAAGGACACTGTTCAGGAACTAGTTGATGCTCTGTATGTGATGACTACTTCCATTCTGGAGAGGATCACAAATACATGTATCCTGAGATTGAAGCTCAAACCTAACCTAGCCTTTTCTAACAGGTACTACCCTTACTACACGCCTCAGGGTGTGGCGGTGCACGGTGGCCTGCCTCAGAACTGCAGCCTGGACCTCCATCTCGTAAAGGCCTACCAGGATATTAACCACTTCATCCCCTCGGAGGATTTCCGTGGCCTCGCCGTCATCGACTGGGAGTTCTGGCGGCCTCAATGGAGCCGTAACTGGCACAAGAAGGACATTTACCGGCAAAAGTCCAAAGAACTGGCCGCCAAGGCGTTTGTAAACGTGACGGATGCTCAAGTGGAGGAGCTTGCACGAAGGAGGTTTGAAAAGAGCGCCAAAGCGTTCATGCAAAGGACTATCCAGCTGGGGACTCGCCTTCGCCCCAATGCACTCTGGGGATTCTACCTCTACCCCGACTGCCACAACTACAACCTGCACGAGCAGAACTACACCGGCTTCTGCCCCCTGCTGGAGAGGCTGAGGAACGACGAGCTGATGTGGCTCTGGAACAGCAGCACGGCGCTCTTCCCCTCCGTGGCCATCAAGAAGAGTCACTCCAACAGCATCAGCAACCTGCACTTCGCCCAGCACAGGATCCGAGAGTCGCTCCGCGTCGCCGCGCTCACCTCCAGGGAGTACGAGCTGCCCACGTACGTGTACCTCAGGCTGGGCTACAGGGACGAGGCCATGGCCTTCCTCACCATGGTAAGAGAGACGTTTAGCTAAACAATGTAGATGCCCTGCTGTTTGTACAGTACTGAGCATGTGATTTACATACTTAGCTCTGATTGGTTAGCATCGCAAGGGCTCCAGCGACAAAAAGAAATAAGTATTTTTCATTGAATCTTTGCAGAAAATAAGCTCTGTGGCAAACAAACGTTTAGGATACTAACACTTTTTGTTCAGCAGGATAATCTCCACATGTAACACCAATTTCTGGAGTTAAAAGCTTATCTTAAGCTATGAAGGAACTACAGCAAGGTCACATGACTTGAGTTTTTACAACTTTTGATCTACAATGCACCTGTCTCATGAAATAGATGTGTTTCTCCTTTTCTGTTATAATCTGCTTCTTTTCCAAATTAGTCCAAAGTTGTTAGACCTGTTGCAGTCTGAGCAGCTGCAGATCCATATTGCACAGATATATTTCTTTAGCCACAGCCTCTTTTTATAGCGACCCAGTCACATTGAGACCATTTTAACTTGTGTTTCACTGTGGCCACGTCTGGTATGAGAGTTGTCTGTTTAATACAAAAAATAAGATGTCCTTTACTAGTCACAATTATTCTGTTTTCTTTAGTCTGCAAATGTAATTTAACGGAAACAATGGCCTGCTGCCCTCAATTCCGATTGGAACAAAGTCAAGCAGAGCTACAAGCAAGTTTAGTTATTATTCACAAGTTCAAGGGATGTTAACAAGAAATGTAGGGGGAAATCTGAGAGGTGTTTTCCAGCAGAAATCAACAGCAAACTTACACTTGATCTCACATTATTTTAGCTTTTAGCCTGGAGCTTCAACCTGCATATTTAGTCAAAGTAGTTTTCTTTCTTTCACTTTACCCACATTTTCTTTCTTGAGAAGGATGTGTTGTAGAGAAGCTTCACAAGCCATAATATCCAATGCAACTTAAAATACCTAATAAAGACATTTCAACAAATGTCTGATAGAAAGATGGATTTGTAATCACAACATTGGCTGCTTGCACTGACTGAGGGTCGTAATTTACTTTCTCACTCCTGCCATCTAGTGGAGATTGACAGAAAAGCAGCTCAGATCAAATCCATAATTGTTCTCCCATTAACCAATAATGATGTTTGTACAGGTTTCAGATTCATGATATTTGTGATAAATCCATGCATGTGACAGAAAACAGCTTTGCATTTTAATTTTGTTTGATAAATAACTTCGCTCTGCATCAGCCAAACAGCTCGCTGCACCCGCACTGCAAGGGGGACCCAAGTTCCCATCAGCAAAAACACGTGGGTTTGCTATCCTGGCTCCAAAATGGT